AGAGCTGAGTCCATGACGATGGTTCACCAGCCAGTGCCTCCGCCCAGGGACCTGGAAGCCCCGTTCCGGCCATCTTCCCTGCCTGCAGACCCTGCGGAGAGCCCACCACCAGGTAAGGACTCAGATTGAGGGATGAGACTTGGGGCTCTGAAGAATCTTAGCTGAGCTTAGAAGTGTCAGGTACAGAGCTGGGGCTGGGGCTTAAGCCCCTCCCAGGGCAGAAGATGAGGTTTAGACTTCGGAGGCCTGAAGTTCAACTTCTAAATTTAGGGCTTAGTTTTTTAGGGGTGGGCTTATTTCTCTGTCGGCAAAGTTTAGTGTTTGGGGGAGGGCCTGAGGCTACTCAAGGGGGGCTTAGACACCTGCAGCTGAGGAATGCCCACCTGACCCTCTCCTTTCCTCAGCCCCAGATCCTGTTCTGGAGCCCCCATCGACCCCACCGCCGTGCAGCCTTTTACGTCCCCGCCTCAGTCCCTGGGGCTTGGCTCCCCTCTTCCATTCCGTCCGCTCCAAGCTGGAAAGCTTTGCTGACATCTTCCTGACGCCCAACAAAGCCCCACGGCCCCCACCCCCATCACCCCCCATGAAGTTGGAGCTGAAGATTGCCATCTCAGAGGCCGAGCAGTCCAGGGCTTCTGAGGGCACTACATCTGTCAGTCCCCGGCCCCCTATCCGCCAATGGCGGGCCCAAGACCACAATCCCTCAGCACTTCTCTCTAAGCCCTCTCTGGGCCGAAGCCACTCCTGCCCTGATCTGGGACCCCCTGGCCCAGATACCTGCAGCTGGCCCCCTGCTCCACCCCACCCAAGCCGGCTCCGGCCCCGGCGGCACACTGTGGGTGGTGGAGAGATGGCCCGAGCCCCGCCACCCCCTCGGCCCTGTCTCCGGAAAGAGGTCTTCCCTCTTGGAGGAGTGGGAGGCCCTCCTCCCCTCGTCACATCTTGCTCGTCTACCGCATCCACTTCCTCCTTCTCTGAACCTGCAGAACCCAGGTAGTGCTCTCGATAAATCCTCCACAAAGCCCTGGCCATAGTCTGGGCCCAGCCTCCTTCCCTAGTATCCAGTGGGCAAGAGATGGGGATGTTGCTGTGAATATTGTTTGTCCCTGAGCCTTGACCTTCTCTGCAGGTTGGGCTCAACCAAGGGGAAGGAGCCAAGGGCCTCAGAGGACCAGGTGCTCTCAGACCCTGAGACCAAGGTAGAAGTACAGATGAGGGGGAAGAGATAAGTGGGAGCCTGAGCCTATGCTGCACTCTTACCCTCTGGCCCACTTTTGCAGACCATGGGAAAGGTTTCTCGATTCAGAATTCGCAGGACACCAGCCCGTTCTCAACTAAACCTTACCCCAATGGGGCTGCCTCGACCAATCAGGTGAGAGGCTCATTGTGCATGGAGCTGCCTTGGCCAAACAAGTGTAGGCTCAGATCCCCTGAAGTGTGGCTTTGTATCCTCTCAGAGAGCATAATCCAGCTTGGAGGAGTCAATTTAGTCTGGACATGGTTTGCACTTAGAACTATCTGTCTGCCTCGGGCAGCAGTCCTGGCCCCTGGCATGTCCCAGAAACTGAAATACAGACCAGGCCTTGCTTATGCCTTCTCCAGGTCCCACTGGCCCCAGGTTTCTCAGTGGGCTCTGCTCTTTGCTTACAGGTTGAACAAGAAGGAGTTCAGCTTGGAAGAAATTTACACCAACAAGAATTACCAGTCACCTACAACCAGGAGGTGAGAAACTTTGAAGGCTTGGGGGTGCTAGAGGGAAGGCTGGAACCAGGGGGCATGCTGGTAACCAGCACCTCTCCCTGCCTGGTCCAGGACTTTTGAGACCATCTTCGAGGAACCCCGGGAGCGCAACGGGACTCTGATTTTCACCAGCTCAAGGAAGCTCCGGCGGGCTGTAGAATTTCGGGACAGCAGCCTTCCTCGATCCCGGCGGCCATCTCGTGGGGTCCGGGCTGCAGCTGGCAGGACCCTTACTCCCAGTCTGGCCCCCAGCCCAGATGTGGGACCCCTGCTGCAGCAGCGGCTGGAGGAGCTGGATGCCTTGCTCCTGGAGGAGGAGGAAGTGGATAGAGAGCGGCCCCATCGGACCTAGGAGCTCCATCTGTTTGTCTGTTCATCCGTCCTGGAGGGAGGGGAAGCCTCTGAGGCAGTTATATTTTTTTCTCTATATTTCTAGTAAAGTTTTCGATATGTTTCTGATTCTTTTGTATGTCTCTAGCTGAGTTTGAGACTGATTGCCAGTACTGGCTGATTTTTCTACTTTGGCCCCTAAAGACTGGGAAATGGGGGAGGTGCTAGGGAAGGTGATGAGATTTGGATACAGGGAGTGGGTGGGGGGATGGTCATTGGAGATACTCTCTTGAGAATTTTCCTGTGTGGAGGGATACTTCTGAATCTGCTCCAGAAGATACTATGACCCTGGACCCTGGTAGGGTTCTCCCAATTCACTTACATCAAGGAGGTGCCTGAAAGTCCCAGAGTGGACTAAGGCCTTGATCAAGATGGCCCTGGATTCCTCCTAACATGCAGGCCAGGACCTGCTGCTGGATTCAGAGCTAAGAGTAATCAGCTGTAATTGAGCACCTACAACAACATGTCACAGGTACTTGACCTGCACAGAGCCCTGTGAGAAAGAATTATACCCATTTTATCCATAAGAAAGCAAGTTGAGTGCAACAATACAATGTCCACATTAAAAGGGTAACCCAGGGGGCTGGCCCGGTGGCACAGTGGTTAAGTTTGCGCACTCCTCTTCGGCAGCCCAGGGTTTGACCTACATACTGCTCATCAAGCCATGCTGTGGCGGCATCCCACAGACAAAATAGAGGAAGATTGGCACAGATGTTAGCTGAGGGCCAATCTTCCTCACCAAAAAAAAAGGTAATTCAGGCAACCAGAGGCCAGAAGCGGCACTCTACATCTTTCATAACTTAGAGGCAGAATAGAGCGGTAGCCAAGAGCACAGACTGGAGCTAGGCTTATTGAGTCCAAATCCTGGTTAGGAAACTGAATGTTTGAGCATCAATTCCCCTCCCCCTTCGTAAAACAGGACTAACAGCAGTATCTTCCTAAAAGAATCCTTATTGCCAAGTAAGTCAATATGTGAGAAAGTGTCGGGCACACAGTGCAAGGTGTTTTTTCTTGTTAGCACGCGGAGACCACAGGTCAGCACTCTCCTACTGAACCCAGCGATAACAGGACGCGGTTTCCTGCGTGCTTCTGGCGCTCGCATAGCACGCCGCGTGCTCGGGCCACTCCGCGCCGCGGGGGATCCTGCTGAGCCGCCAGCCGGATGGTGATATCACCAAGCGCGTGCGCGAGAAGCCAGGCAACCTGTTGGCTAAGCCAAGCGGCGGAAAGGGAGAAGACGTAACTGGCTGTCGACAGGCACCTTCCGCGGCCGCGCGCCGCCCAGCGGCCAACCGACCCGAGGGTTCGCGCACCACATCCCGACTCCTCTCCTTGACGCCGTCAGAAGGTGGGCCAATGAACGAAGAGCAGGAAGAGGCGGGGCCATCTGGGGACCGCCCCAAGCACTTACTTCTAACCAGTTGAGTCACAAGACTTCATGAGGGGGGCGGAGCTAATCTGATGTATACCCAATCCAAGCTTTGAGGGCGGTTACATATTGCCCTCTCCCTCGAGCTTGACTCCGCCCTTCATCTTGACGTACACTTCTCAACCTATCAACGACTGAGCCTGTGGAAGGATGAGGGAGAGGGGGCGGGGGGTGGGAGGAGGCAAAGAGAGGAAGGAGGCGTAGGCTGAGGAGGAAGAGGGAGGAGGGGTAGGGAAGTCCTGGCGGAGAGGAGGCCCCAGACTCCAAAGGAGACAACAGGAGGGTGCGCTGGTGCTTCCCCGCTGTCCAACGGCCGTTCCGGATCCTTTAAGGTGCAAGTCAGACAGAGACGGAGGAAAGGAGGAAGAGACTTTTATGTCGGCAGACAGAGAAGCTCTACCCGTCACCGTTGCCTCACATCCGGGGCTTTGGAGGGCTGGCCCCCGCGGCCCCGCCCCCCCGCTCCTTTCATGGCGACCGGAGGCGGAGGCTGGAAGAGTTGGGCCTGGAGGAGGCCCCTTTAAATCTCCTTAAAGGGGTGGCCACTGAACTCGGCAGACTACAACGCCAGCCTTAAAGGGGAAACCGCCGAACAGAAGCTGACAAATTGAGAACTGTGCTGTGGGGAGAATTGGAGCGAGTGGGGATTCTCACCTCGTCTACCCCGCGCAAGAAGTCCTTTAAATTCAGCTTAAAGGGGAAGCGGCCGCTTGTGGAGGACTAGAAACTAACTCCCGAGCCCTTAAAGGGGCGGCCTACTGTTTCGAGGACCCCGGACTCCTTAAAGGGGTGGCCTCTTTTAGCCGGAGGACTTGAGACACTTTTAAAGGGGAGGTCTGCGTTTCGGTCCGAGCTTTCGGCCGCTTTTAAAGGGGTGGCCCTTCCTCTTCCTCGGGGAGACTTGTCTCGACCCCTGGCAGGGGGCGGCCACCGCAGTAGGCCGGCCGGACACCATCGGGTCGTCTTAAAGGGGCCAGGGGCTGGACAACTTGAGGCCTCGCCTTAAAGGGACGGCCGTCCCGTTTTCGCCGTCTCGGCCCCGCCGGCCCCACAGCGGGGGCCCTCGGGCTTGTCGCCCCGGGGGCGGCGCCGGCTTCCCGGGCCTTGGCCTTGGGGCAAGCTCGGGGCCATCAGATCCTGCTTTGAAAGGGAAGCCGTGGCCTTCTTGTCCCTGTGCAGCCGCCAGCGCCGCGCCTGTGACCCCGGGCCTGTGGACAGGCCGCTTCGGGCCCCGCCGCCTCCGGATGCGGCGCTGAGGGCGGTCGCCATGGAGACGGCAGCGGCCGCGGCTCCGGGCCCGGGCTG